CCTCTCATGTAAACTTTGCAAAAAGTTTAACATGTTACTTACAATTGTAAATGTGTATAAAACAGATAAAAAAATGGCCTCTCATACAAACTGATAAGACTGATAAAAAAAAGATGGCCTCTCATATAAATTGATATATCGAAAACATAAAAAAATGATCTCCTCTCATGTAAACTTTGTAAAAAGTTTAACATGTTACCTCCAAGTGCAATTTATTACCAAATTATTTAAGAACTTATTATGAAAAAATATGGACCCCTCATATTAAACTAAAAATAGTTTAATATGCTATACACATTTTCAATTAATAATACTTGTATAAATTTTTATAGTGAAAAATAATAAATATACCCCAAACTTTAAAATAATAAATATACCCCAAATTTTTATAGTGAAAAATAATAAACTGTGTATAAGTTTAATATGAGTGGTTCAATAATTTCTAATAAACTCATCCTATAATTTATCAATGAGTTGACCCAGTCGATCGAAGAATCGATCAGTTGGAGCTTGTCAATGAGTTGACCTAGTCAATTCTTAGATAAGCTCCAATCTGTGGATTCTTCTGGCTACGGCTTGAGTCATCGATGGACTCTCCCAAACGCATGTACTGACATTATGTCGCTACATGTGATGTAGCCCATCCATGGTTCAAGGCGTAGCCTGAAGAATCGTCAGGATGGAGTTTATCAATGAGTCGACTGGGTCAACTCATTGATGAGCTCCAACCGGTTGATTCTTCGGTCGACTGTGTCAACTCATTAATAATTATAGGATTTGTTTATTAGCAATTATTGGAACCTAATATTAAACTTATACCCAGTTTAATATGTTATATACATTGACAGTAGACAATACTTACATAAAAATTTGATCTTCTATTATAAGAGTTCTAACAAAAAACAAATTAAATTAATATATTTTAGATGAGCAACGAACAATCGACCTCAGCTCCCCGACCTAACTATGCGCCCATGTCCGAAGCGGAGCGCAACAACGAAGGAGCTGTTTGGGTGACCCCTGCAGATGTTGCTTTGTAAGTAGTTATGATCAAACCTTATTTTCAATAATTTTAAATAATGTTAAATAATCTAACCAAATGTTATATAAATAAATACTATTAATTTTTTTAAGTGACGAACAAGTGTTCAAAGGCATCAAAAGCATAATCGGAGGACACTTTCTTGGCACTTGGGCCACGTACTCGGATGTTGACCCCAAGGTTCGCGAACTATGGTGGAACCTGTTCAAGGTAAAAATAAATGAATGTTCCCTCCCTTATTGTATTGGCCTAATATATACCTAGTGATTAATTAATTCAATTTGTTTTAATAAAGGCTCGCTATCGTTGGACTCACGCAAACGGTCCCGATATTCTTAGAGCCTTCAATGCTAGGATTTCGACCTGGCTTCGCGCCACTTTTAAGCGTGCCCGGAAAAGTGCGAAAAAGCCTAAATGGGTTTCGGATGAAGTGTGGTCCAACCTTTGTCGCCACTGGTCTTCTGATCCGAAATTCTTGGCCAGAAGTGAATCCGGTAAGAAAAACCGGATGTCCGAGAAGGCCTTGGAGATGCAGTGGCACGGAGGTCGCAAATCTCAGAATGCCCATAAAGAAACTCTTGTAAGTGCTATTCAAAAAACCTTACACCATCACAGTCCTTCATTATAAAAAATTTACTTAAGTCTTTTTCACACCATTTAGGCTGGTCCCGAGAAGAAGAGGGTTGATGTTCTCCGGCTCGTCAAGCATTGCTGGACGAAGCACGGCGAGGAATCTGAAGCCGATCTGCCACCCCGCCTCGCTGACTTCGAAGTATGTAACATCATATGTTGTTATTTAGTAACATTTCAAATCTAACCATGTAGCATTTAAAAAATATTTTTTAAAAATGCAGACGAAGTACAACGAATCCGTTGACAGGCAGCGTGCGGCACGAGGCTTGACCCAGGAGGACGACCTCGATTCCGATGCGGATGATGAGGCGGCCATTGAGGCGGCCGGGGTTTACAAGGGTCGGGTTCCATGCTTGGGGGCCGAGGGGCAACGGATTTTGTATGATCGAAGCACCGGCGCTTCCTCTTCTCGGTCAAGGCGGGGAGAAGATCCCCGTATTGCTACAATGCAGCGTGAACTAGAGGAGCACGAACGACGATGGGAGGAGCAGCGGAAAGCAGATGCTGCCACAAAAGCCCGGTTGGAGGAGATGGAACGGTACATGCGTGCCGGATTCCAGCCTCCGCAACAGCCTTTTCCTCCCCCGTACGTATTCCACCCTGAGCAAACTCCTCAAGTTCCGCACATGGGCGGTATGGGATTTTTCCCCAACTCCGGATATGGTGGCATGCCTATGATCTCCCCGAATTTCGGTTCTATGTCCTTTGATTTTGCGAGGTCATCCGGAGGAGGTAGTGGCACACCGAGCCACGGAGGCCGAGGAGCACCCCGAGGAGGACCCCGAGGAGCACCCCGAGGAGGAACCCGACCTGACCCTGAAGACCCCCCCGTGAACCCAGATGAGTTTCTTGTTGATGATGAAGATGAAGAAGAAGACCAGATGAGTTTCTTGTTGATGATGAAGATGAAGAAGAAGAAGAAAATCCAGATTTTTTTCATAATGGAGTCCCACGAAGGGACATGTAATCATCATACATTTGAACTTTGTTGTTTGTCAAAACATTTAAAAGTTTGTCACAATATTTATTAAGTTTGTTGTATGTCTTTACTCTTTAAAATGTAATTTTAAATTTAAAAAATTAGAATAATATTTTCAATAATTCAATAGTATAAAAACATGGATAAAAATTAGAATAACATTTTTAAATTTAATTTGTAAAAATACGTGTTAAAAAGTAATTTTTAAAAACAACTTTCATAAAAAAATGGAAATTTTTTTTTTACAAAACAAAAATAGTAGTCACGGCCATATCCGTGACTACAGTTAATTCGAAATTATTATTTGTTTTTAATAAAAAAATTATTTTTTTAAAAAAAAAAACTTAGTCACGGTCGACAACCGTGACTAGTTTCAAAATTTTAGATTACACCCGCGGGCGGTCTTTTGAAAATTTTGAAAATTTTAAAACTTAGTCACGGCCCACAGCCGTGACTAATATTTATTTTTAAAAAAAAAAAAATTATAGTCACGGTCACAAGCCGTGACTAACATGTCGGAGTGGGGTTTCCGGCATCAAATTAGTCACGGTCGTTGACCGTGACTAATCCGTGACTAAATTTAGTCACGGTTATGTGGCGGTGACTTCATTTAGTCACGCCAATTAAGACACGGATTTAGTCACGGCGGATGACCGTGACTAAACTTTTTAGTCACGGAAATTTTACACTGCAGTCCGTGACTAAATCCGTGACTACGCCCGTGTTTTTTTGTAGTGATATGATCAAATCTATGTATTAATTGTGTTGATCAAATCTATGGTATTAATTGTGTTATTGCAACTTCCACGATACAAGGTTTGATTAAGAAAATGCTTAATAATAATACATAATGATGAGTTGATAATAATGACTCTTAAAACCTTCAATTTGTCCGAAAACTTTCATTTGACCATGTTTGGCCTTGTATTGCAGAGAAGATAACAATTAACTGCTGAGTTGTACCAAGTACCAACTAATATAGTAAATTATGAAAACAGTAACGTTGATTAAATAAAACTTGTTTTTCCTAGTATTTACGTGTGACAGACAAGTTATGTGTACATGGTGCATGTATTACCCCTTTTACGTAATCCAACGGTTGTACCTAATTTTGTACGTTATGTTTGAGGTTTAGAGCCCGTTTGGAGAACTCTGTTTTCGGCTTATCAGGCTTATCAGCCAGCTTTTTCACCAAACACTTAACTTTTACTTTCGCGTGCTGAATTGTGTAATAAGCCGAAAAAGTAAGGTTGGAGTTACTTTTCTGGCTGTATTGGCTGAAGTTACTGTAGAGGACCATTTTAGCTATTTTTACATATAATTTTTTCTTTAATTTATTAATAAAATATATTTTTAAAATATTTTTTTCTTAAATCAGCAGAATCAGCCAAAACAGCCACTCCAGCCAGAATATCATAAATTTCAGCAGAATCAGCCAAAACAGCCGATTTTGGTGCTACCAAACGGGCTCTTAATTTTAGGATCACCTCGTTTGTTTCATGTTTTTGACAAGAACCTGATTTTACAGAGAACTAAGTTAACCTCGATTAACTTCCATCCAAACAATGCATTCACTTCGGTTAGTCTAATCTAATACAACCTCTGTCTCGCTGGGAGGTTCCCGTGAGTACATGGCATGATTTTTTAGGCAAGTGGTTAAATAAAGTAATTTTGGTAAAAATGAGAGGAAAGAGAAAACTTAGAAAAAGTAAACATATACTCCGTAAAGTGAAAGTAATTAAAGGGAGATAAGTTGGGGGATGAGGCATTGTGAGACTTGACATGTAATGAATAGAAAAGAGAAATTTGAGTAAATGTGTAATAAAAAAGATTAAATTATTATTTCCTAAAATGGAATGAAACCTTTAAATGGAATACTACAAATAAGGAAAGTGAGAACATTTCAACGAACAAACAGAGGGAGTAACTATAAGGCAAAATATATGTTCATCTGGGTTCACATACATAGATTTATTTTCCTAAATATATACTCTGTATTTAATTAGTGAGTTTGTGTAATTGCACTCTATCCAAATGGACGGTTAAAATATGGCCAATATATTAATCTTTTTAATACCATTTTTCCTTTAAGAAGGGGAGTGGGGACTAAAATATACTCCTTGTATCTAACACTTTGGTTTTACATTGTTTTTCTGAAAATAGAATTCATCCGCATCCACACAAAGAATTATTACTTTGGTTTATTTGATGAGTGGATGAGTTGTATCTTACAAAATGAAAGACATTGGTGCTATGTTAAGAGATGAGTTAGGTTTCAGGTTTAATTTGATCTTTTTTATCTTTTCTTTCATAAATACGTAGTATGGAGTATGATAAATGCAAGTATGCAACAGTGTAACTTTTCTCTGGAAGGTACTTTTTCATTATATGAACGTTATAAATTACATCACTCACACATATGACATATATGTACTCCATCCGTACGTGCAAGTGAGAACATAATTTGTACAAACATACAAATTGTGGAAGATAGACAATAAATACACATACGAATAAAATAAAATTGTGGAAAAACAAACAGACTAGTAAATAGGAGTAGTATCTTTTCTTCAGACATGTATATATCCTATGACTCTATGAGGCACCATCCCAAAGACTGTTGTCCATCGACTTGCTATCTGGTGGATTATACTGCCCTGTGAAATTAGAAACAACATTGAATATTTATTACTTTAATTTATTACGTCCAAGATTCCAACAGTCCAAAAAGTATTGAATTGTAATTCAATCAAAAATATATATGCACAACTTTTTAAATTATGATAAGCTACACTGTATTCTTAATAGATATTAAGGATGTTTCTACTTGGACTTTTTGGTTTGGTCCGATGTGATCTTTTTAAGTCTGATCTGATCCAATCTTCCGGTAGATTTATGATCTATGAGCATTTTACAACTTTCAAAATTTGGTTTGGTCTAGTTTAGTCAATTTAAGTCTGGTTTAGTTATATACGGGACTAAAACTAGTCCAAGTAAAAACATAAATCTTCCTACGTTTTCAGTTAATGTTTTATGTTTAACTATTGATAGAGTTTAATGTGATAGCAAAGTTTCTTCAGTTTTTTTTTAAAAAGCAGTTTCTTTTGTTGAAAATGATAATTTTATGCTCATAGCGTATTCCTAACTTCCTATTTTAATACTTTATTGAATTACCTATATTTGATTGAATTATTGAATTACCAATCTTCTATATTGCTAACTAAGAGTACTCGAGTTTTATTCTAGAAAATACTAGTAGTCTAAATGGGAGCAGTCTAAAATTTTATATTCGTTGTTTATTACTCAAATTGCCCCATTATGTTTGTTCCTTTTTGTTCCATTTACCCTTTTTGTATATCCCGCCATCTTTGTCTCATACTATGTACTAAATTTGGGAATGAAAATTTGTGTGCAGTGGATCTAATTAATATCAACCTTTCTAAAAAATACTAGTAGTCTAAATGGGAGCAGTCTAAAATTTTATATTCGTTGTTTATTACTCAAATTGCCCCATTATGTTTGTTCCTTTTTGTTCCATTTACCCTTTTTGTATATCCCGCCATCTTTGTCTCATACTATGTACTAAATTTGGGAATGAAAATTTGTGTGCGGCAGTGGATCTAATTAATATCAACCTTCTCTTGTACATATGTATATACTTTAAATCCATTTTTATTAAACATTACAAATAAAAGCGTTAGATACAAAATGTTCATGATAATGCTAGCTAGCTAAAGTACGTCATCTCTAGGTTGATTAAAAAGCTACAAACTAAATCAAATTAATAAGGGCATATGCTAGTAGTAGCTTTGATTTTAACTTTCATGGTTTCGATCGATTCAAAACTTCCTTATTTGGCTTGCTGCTATGTATGTTCTATACTTTTCTTTTGTTTATTACGGAGTATAAGCTTATTATGACCTAAGGAAATGGACATATATGTCTATTTTTGAAGATAAGACTACGTCTTGAATCGTTGGAAAATTTTCAAATTTTTTAATTTGTTATTATGCAGTACATTCTACGAATCTATACATATTTAGCTCATTATATGCCACGTTCTTAAACACGAATCTCAGTTAGAACCACTGTTATTTTTCACTTCAAAATACATGCCTTTTAAAATAATATGACTCATACTAATTAGTACTTCTTACTTCCTAATATTTATAAATTTGGTCCACTCTTATTATAAACTAACTTAGTCATTGATTTACAAACTTAGCAATTTCTTACAACAAAATTCTCGAAATATGAGTAAAAACGTTTGACAATATGAGTATTATATATTTATTCTCTAAATAAGAAGTATTGCTATCAAGCTTGTAAATTAGTGTCATATTATACCTGGCTTACCTGTGATAAAATATTGCTGATTGAAACCGTTGATGGGAAGTTGGCGGGGCAAGATAACAGGCGTGCTGTTCTTAGTATCCCTCCTTAACTTTTGAAAATTATTATTATGAGCATGATGATGATTCATACTATAATTATTATATCCCACAATTGAATTCCCATTCGTAGTATTATTGTTGTTATAATTCCACCCTATGACCATGTTTGTGGTCGTTGACTCATATTGACCACTCTTGTACATCTTCAGTTCCTCACACACCCTTCTGTACTCCCCAAAGCACCCTAACACCGGATCATTCTGCCGGCAAACCGCCTCCCACACCAGCGACTCCACCGCCGGCTGCCGCTCTGCCTCGCTCACATTCTTCACCATCTTCGTCACGTTGCTCACCCCGAAAACCTTGTGCACCGCCTGAAATTCCAGGCTCTTTTCTGCCGGGAAGAACGGTGCCAGCACACACTTCTCCGTGCACTTCTTACGTTGGTGCTTGCATGAGGCACATGCCGCTGAGGTTGTTCCATTGCTCCTCTGCATTATTCTTATATCATTACACCCACCAATCAATAAAATCAATAGGCTATAATAAGCTTGCTAATTAACATCAAGGTTAGTAAAATTTGTTGTTGACTGGCCTTTATTATAAGTGAACACAGAAAATGGTGGGATGATTTATATAAGAATATTTAAACCCCAAAGTTCAATGAAAAGAGCGTTTGTGTGTTTATAAATGTATTAGTTTAAATAATAAAATTGAAAACAAAGATAAAAGAGCATAAGGAGATAGTCGGTTATTTAAAAGTTTGATCAGAAGTCACAAAACCATGAAAAGATGGTTGTGTGAAAAAAGATGTGTAGTTGGGAAGCTAAGTTTCCTGTTTTGCATGAATAGTAACTGCTATCTTTCTTGCATGGAAGTTTTTACTACAGTTGAATTGTACTACGTACTTACTAGCTAGGCTTAGTACGACTGGAATAGTAGCTTTAAGTAAGTAGGTAATTTAGTATTTAGACATGCATACATATCTATAGGTTATAGATGTATGTACTAATATGACTTGAATGAGAATAATATTCCATAAACTATTCAAATATGTTCAACATTTCATGCTAAACTATACCGTGAGATCTGCATATCAATCACACACATATACTCTATACTTTATGAAGGAAAGATTTTATAAGGATAAATCGATCCCATATTATATACTCCGTATTACTCCCTCCGGTTTTTAATAAACTTCACACTTTCCTTTTTGGGACGGTCTAAAATAAACTTCACACTTCCTTATTTCTTTTTTTGACAAAGAAATCTACATCAAAACAGTGCCAAACAATGTCTCAATAGTGCCAAACAATGTCTCTACAGTGCCAAACAGTGCCTCAACAGTGTACTCTACAGTAAAATCAAATTTCATTCCTTATTTTGTGTGAAGTCAAAGTGTGAAGATTAAATAAAACCGGAGGGAGTATAACATAATACATAGTATATGCTAATGTTCTAAAAATTGGTAGGCGCTAGTCAGACGTCAGGGAGCCGCCTAGCGCCTAGGCTGACAAATCGGCGACTAGGCTCTCTAGGCGCCTGAAAAGTCGACTTACTCGACTGTCTGGATTACATGCCTGATTCCACAGTAATCCCAGTACTAGGCGACCGACCAGCGACTAGGCGCCGCCTAGTCACCCGCCTAGTCTGACTTTTAAAACAATGATATATAGAGTCCGTTTGGTAGCACAAAAATCGGCTGATTTGGCTGTTTTTGCTGAAATTTATGAAGTTCTGGTCAATGTTCTAAAAGGCGCTAGGCGCTAGTCGGACGCCAGCCCAACGCCTAGCGCAAAGTCGGCTAGGCGGGCGCCTAGGCAGGGACTAGTCGGAGACATAAAAATTGTAGTTTTATCAATATATTTGCATAAATATGATTAGTAATGTTGTGTTTGTGTGTGTATAAAAAATATACACACACATATACACATTAACATGCATGAATGATAGAGTTATCACATTTAAAAATATATTATACCTACTCACTTACTCATTAGTAGCTTTCTTCTTATGCATTGTCAAAGTTAAAGGTACATATATCTATTAGGATACTAAAATAAAAATGTAAAAAAAAGTTTGATGAATCTAGACGCCTAGGTGGCCCATTAAGCGCTCTAGGCGGGCAACTAGGCGCCCTAGGCGGCCGACTAATTCACCTAGGCACCAAATCAATTAGTCGGAGCGCCTAGACTAATATCGGGGCGCCCAACCACCGCCTAGCGCCTAGGCGGGGATTAGTCGGACGCCTAGAGCGATTTTTAGAACAGTGGTTCTGGCTGCATTGGCTGATTCTGCTGATTTAAGAAGAAATTATTTTAAAAATATATTCTATTAATAAAATAAAGAAAAAATTATACGAGTATGTAAACATAGATAAAATGGTCATCTACAGTAACTTCAACCAATACAGCCAGAAAAGTAATTCTAGCTTTACTTTTTCTGTTTATTACACAATTCAGCGCGTGAAAGCAGGAATTACGTGTTTGGTAAAAAAGTTGACCGATAAGCCTGATAAGTCGAAAAACACTGTTGCCAAACAGCCTCATACTAGTCACCTTTATTTAATTATTATGTTATGAACATATGTTTCTTACTACCTCCGTTCTCTTTTAAATGCAAAGTTGGACTTTGTACACTATTCATGTGTTCTACTTTGACTCCGTTTTATTTATTAATGTATTATAAATTAAATTTTAAAAAAATATTGTTAAATTCCTCTCACTTTAAATTTTCATAACCTAATTTGTTTAATTTTTTTACTAATACGGAACGAGAGATATTAATGGTCAAAATTGTGTGTTGGCAAACGTGAAACGTGGACCGTTGCAATTAAAAAAGAACGGAGAAGTATTTATTAGAGAAAAGGGGCGAATAAGTCCACGTACTAACAAAAAAAGGTCAAATAAGCCCTTATTTAAGAGGCTCTGTCCGGCCGTCGTCATTTGAGGTGGTTATCGGTGAATTTTTTGATAAATTTTTTTGATTTCATTAAGTCCAGTTTACTCATACCAAATTTCAGCTAAAACTTCAACCGGCAAGGAATTCAAATGAATTCTTGAAGATAAATGCGTAGTTATCTTCAAGAATTCATTTGAATGCCTTCCCGATTGAATTGTTAGCTGAAATTTGGTATGAGTAAACTAGACTTAAAGAATAAGATGTTCAAAAAAATTCATCAAAAAATTACACCGGGAACTGCCCCAAATGGCGACGGCCGGACAGAGCTTCCTATTTAAGGGCTTATTTAATTTGACCTTTTTGGTTAGTACGTGCGTTTATTTACCCCTTTTCCCTATTTATTATCTCTACTTTTATTTGTGTAGTTAGTTGGAGGTGATGTTTCATCCTCAGTTTACTACTCTTGTATGCAGTATGTGTTAAGCATCTAAACTTGGATTGATTGTATTGAATATTACCGCTCTAAAAATTGCTCCAAGAGTCATTCATGACTTCATGAGCCTGGCAGAGAGCCGAGTTACTAGCACAGTAGAAAGTCATCCACTATCATGTCTGGGACTCTGGGAGTCATTCATGAGCCTGCCAGAGAGTTGACCTACCTGCCCAACAAGGATGGAACTCAAGAAGTCCGTCCGACCTACCTACTAGATAGGTAGACATGAAAATACTACGTATTAATTTTTTCATTGTTAATACGCCATTAGCCCATTATGATTAATAGTGGTTACAAATTTGTAATGCATACAAAAACAACTGAACTTCAATAACAAGACATGCTATTTCTGACATCATATCTTAAGTATTATGCCGTAGCTTTCCTACAAAGTCTCTGATCGTCCATTTATTTTTACCAACACCTACTATTTGCTAAGTGTGCACAAACCTATAACATTATCTTGAATTATGTGAAAAACCTATTTTGATAATTGAAATGACACAGAGGCCGTATATACTTATCACCATGCGTCGTATACACGTTTGGACGTGTATAAAAGCCTAAATTGTCATTATGCATAGACATGGTTTTTTGTACGAATTGCTTGTGTACATAGACAAAATAGAAGAAAATTGTATGGAAGCATGTATAGAAGGAAATTCCACATGTTCCCTCCGTTTTAAAAGTTCACTACAATATGTTAGGGCACATTATTTAAGGATGAAAATAGTAGAACCCTCATTGCAGGGGTAATGAATAGTGTAGAAAAATAGAATAGAAGGCGGAAAAACATGAAAGAGAATTTTTTTTTATCGAAGGGGGCTTACATTAAGAAAATAGCAATCAGATAGGGGTTGAAAATTTGACCGGAAATGAAATAGCAATCGAAGTTGTAAACCTTTCTTTATTTTGACTGGAAACTCCATTCTTTCCTCAGTTGCATAAACCTCTCCGGCTTCCTTGTCATCAAAATTGAGTTCATAGTCTTCCTCACCAATAACCATCTTCTTATAGTTATTCATTATATCATCCATTGAAAAACCCCTTCGGATTCGATCCCTGCCCTCTGTGTGTTTCGGCCGAAGACAAAGGCAGCCACCAAGCAACACTCTTCTTTCTCCCTCTGGATCCACGACGGAATCACCCACCCACAGCAAGCCGCAATCGCTGAAGACTTCTACAGCCTCCTAAAGTCGAAAACTGAAAAATAAACTCTAGCGGCTGCAAAGCCCTAGAGAGACGGCCACTATGGCCTATATATGTAGTTGAATAAGGCAAAAGTAAACATGAAAAAGAAGATAAAAAGTAGAATAGTAAAGGCATGATAATTGAGTATTTTTTAAAGAAAAATTTCCCAATAAGAAAAAGTGTAACAAACGTTTAAATACATTCAAACAAGGAAAATGCAGTAAATTTTAAGATATTATTATAGGAAAAAAATGGGTTATTTAAATATTGAAGATCATATTAATAATAGGAACATTTTTCTGGTACTTTAGCACACCTTTCAGTTAGCAACTCTCTCCATCCATCGTGTAGAGTCGTAGAGACAATTCTTAACGGATTGCCATTGATTACTTATGGGTGACGACGGACAATGCCATTAATTACAAAGAATCTTGAGTTTTTACTTTATACTCGTCTTCGTCTATGTATATCTAGGGATGGACTGGGACCGGGTCGGGCTTGGACAGGCTCAGGCCTAAAATTTTTAGGCCCGGTATTGGCCCGGGTTTGTACCGAGACTGGGCCGGGTCGGATCTAAACAATACCGGGTCGGGATCGGGCAATAAATTAAAAAAATAATGCAATCGAACCCGAGACCGGACCGGGACCAGCCTGGTCTATCCCAAAAAACGAGCCCGAAGACATAAGTATTTAGCAAGAAGGAAGAAAGACAATAAGTGGACCGAGGTGCGCCTTTTGACGCCTTTTTGGAGGTCAACTCTTTAGTTGTCGTCTTTTCCATACCTTTTTACTATATGCGAAGTTTTTTTTTGCACTGTCTCATGCATAGGTGCGCCTTTTGACGCCTGTTCAGGTTTATTTTTCTAGGTCCAGGATCCTAACACTTTCCCTTGGACTTTCGTTGGATAGTTGATGGATTGATTATATTTTATGGGTTAGTTAACAGTTCGAAGGCATAAGTATTTAGCAAGAAGGAAGGAAGACAATAAGTGGACCGAGTTCTATTAAGCAATACAACACATCCTACTGGATCGAGGGCCGAACGTCTATCTTAAGTTGTGATTACAGAAGAATATAGAGCTAAAACCAGAGTACAAGTTGTCAACCACTAACATTTAAATAAA